CGAGCTAGCCTTGGGCCGTGCGTCGGGCGTGTGGGTGTTAGGCCACGGCACCTTGGGCCGAGGCCTTGGCTCGCCTTGATCTCGGCCCTTACGAATTATTTTCCAATTTTTCTTAGGCTCGTTTAAGATTAAAAATGGCCAAGTTCACGACCATTTTTCTAAGATAAAATGAACCGAGACTTAAACTAAATCAAATAATCCAATCAACCTAATTAACCAAATTTAAATAGAATAGTTATCCCAATATAATTTAATCAACCTAATTTAAGTTAAAGTAATTAACCTAATCAAATGTTCCTAATTAGCTAAGGGCTCATTTGTTAGAATAGATGAGATTAGATAAATCTTATCATGAGAGATGAGATTATACTGTTGAGATTATATGTGACATATGTTTGTTATTAAGGATTGGTCCAAGATAGGATTTTGGTAACTTTTGTGTTACCCATTTGTTTTGTTAGATAAGATATAAGATAAAATGTGTGAATTACTAATGTGCCCTTAAATTAAATTAATTAAAATATAGAGCTCCTCACCTTTATTTGTACCGTTTATACTTCCTAATACTCGCCATGTACTCTCATTTCAATTGCCCCCATTTTAAACTACATTATTTTTTTTCTACATTATTTTTTTTCATCTTCTCCTTGTTGACGGCATGTTTGAGAGCTCCTTCTTTTTTGCATGGCTCGCTTATTCCTACAACTAACGAGTTTCTCTCAATTTTTTTGACGAGAACCAAAATCTACAACAAAGACAACAACAGACTGTTTTGCTCAAAGTTATTTCACCTCATAACAACCTCTTCAAACTTTCACCTAGCAATCACTCGGCTAAGCCGTACCCAATCTGCAAACCTTCTTCCAACACCTTGTACGCCCTAAGAGAAATCATCTGTACACAAATTCATGCATAATAGATCGGATCGATTTTTTCTGTTCATGCACTAAATTCATGCATCTTCTACCACTTATAAAAGTTAAAACAAATAATAAAAGAAAATATAAGTGCTACTTCAAAACCAAAACTAATCAAACTTGGATAAACAGAAACTTAAAAACCAAGGAAAGGGAATGTCTGATCACAAAATTTGAGTAAAATTGAGGTGCTTGTATCAGTGAGATTCCAAATTTTTGTATTCANGTTGCATATGGCCTTCAAACACCCAAATGTTCCTTGCTTTCCAGAGCCACCAAAGTATATACGTGGATAGTTGAATTCTCTCTTCTGATGTGTCTTTGAAATCCATGGTACAAATCCACCACCACCACTGCTTAAAAGTGAGTTGTTCTTGGTGAACTCTGTTCCACTGCACAGGGGCTATCTGCCACACCTTCACTGCTCTATGGCACTGGAAAAAGACATGCTCTTGGGACTCTACAGCTTCCCCACAGACTCTACAAAAAGGATCAATAAGCAGTCCTCTTGAGATCAGATTAGTGCAGACAGGTAATATGTTGGTAAAACACTTCCAAATGAAGTGTTTCACCTTGCTCATCACTTTGAGATTCCAACATCTTGCTCTAGCTTTCCTGTTCCCCTCAGCCATCATACTACTTTCAGCCACAGCATTTGCAGTAGAGTTTCCAGCAACCAAATAGGAGTAAGCTTTCTTGACTGAAAAGTTTTTTGTAGCCACAAAAGAGCAATTCCACATGTCTGCTTTCCTTGGATTTAGGTTCTTGATTTGCAGGATTTTTTCAGCATCCTCAGCAATGAACAATGCTTTAACCAAATTAGGGTCCCAATTACATCCTCCTGCAATTAATAAGTCCTTAACCAAGAACATATGGTCATCAATAAGAATTCTGAGCTGAGGTTTTCTACCTCCCAAACCAGGAACCCAGCAGTGATCATTCAACTTAGTATGAGCCCCATTTTTGATAATAATGTTCAGTTGAGATTTAAGGACAGGCAGTAAAGAAGTCCAAGATTTCCATAGCCATGAATCACTACTTGATTGAGTCCAGTCAAAGATAGAACAGTTAGAAAAGTATTTACCTCTCAGAACTTGGCTAACTAGAAGATCAGGCTGGTCCAAAATTCTCCACAGTTGTTTCAGAATGAGAGCTTTATTCAGGAGACTAATATTCAGAAATCCCAACCCTCCCTCAAGTTTAGGAGTAGCTATTTTATCCCAGGCTTTCCAATGCAGACCATCAGATTGAGTTCCACCCTTACTCCACCAAAACTTAGCAAATAATCTGCAAATATTCTTACACAATCCTACAGGCAGCATAAAGCATGACATAACAAAAATAGGTAGAGCCTGCAGGACAGATTTGATCAAAATTTCCTTACCAGTCGTGGGCAAAAGACTGTTCTTCCAACTTTCAATTCTACCTCTGACTGAATCCTCCACAAACTGAAAAGCTTCCTTCTTAGATGCTCCAATACCTAAAGGAAGGCCAAGGTATCTTGAGGATCTTTTGACCACCACACCCCTTAAAACAGAGCAGATTCTCCTCACCATGTCAGCACCACAATTCTTGCTCAGAAACATAGATGATTTATGCAAGTTGACCTTCTGCCCTGTGAAGCCTTTGTATATGTGAAGGATATTCAACAGCCACAAAGCATGAGACTCATCTGCCTTACAGAAAATCAAAGCATCATCTGCAAAAAGTAAATGAGAGAGCATAGGTCCACCTCTTGAGATCTTAATACCCCTAAACTGACCAACACTGGTAGCATAATTCAATGCAGAAGAAAAAGCCTCTGAAACCAAGATGAATAAGTAAGGGGAAAGCGGATCCCCTTGTCTGATTCCCCTAGTAGCTCTAACATAACCACAATTCATTCCATTCAGATTAAAAGAGTATGTAGGAGAGGAGATGCCACTTAAACCATTTAATGAAAGTATCATGGAAACCCATTTTCTTCATAATTTTCTTAATGCTCTCCCATTCCACCCTATCATAAGCTTTCTCCATGTCTAACTTTACAGCCATGAAAGCCTGAGACCCAGTCCTATGTCTATGCAGAAAATGGAAAACTTCATGGGCTATCACAACATTATCTAACAGATTTCTCCCAGGAACAAATGCAGTTTGAGCAGGGCTAATACACAGATTTAAGCACAACTTCAGTCTCTCAGCAAGTATTTTAGCAATAATCTTATACAGAACACCACACAGAGATATAGGCCTGAAATTACTTAATGATTCTGGATACAAACATTTTGGGATAAGAGTTATCACTGTGTGCTTCCAGTTTTTGAGTAAGGAGCCAGAACTGAAGAAACTTTTAACAGCATTACACACATCCACTTTAATAATATCCCAAAAGTGTTTAAAGAAAGAGGCAGTCATACCATCATCCCCTGGTGCTTTCTCAGACTCCATCTTGAAGAGTGCAGCTTTGATCTCTAGCTCATGAATTGGCTGAATAAGCCTGTTGTTGCTCTCATCAGTGATGGAATGAGAGATGTGCTGTAATAATTCCTCACCTCCTGCAGATCCTTCAGAGGTAAAGAGATGAGAGTAAAAGTCCACCATGTGGTTAACAATAGTTTCCTGGGACTCACATACAACCCCTGTATTTGTGACCAGCCTCTGAATCAAATTGGTCTTCCTCCTTTGGGCAGTATAAGCATGAAAAAATCTGGTGTTTCTATCCCCCATTTTCATCCACAAAGCTCTGGACTTTAATCTCCAATAGTTCTCCTCCTCTTTGTGAGCACAATCAAGTTCAGCTTTCAAAGAATCCCATGCCTCCCAGTCCCTTTCCTGCCCTTTCAATCTCATCTCCTCCAGCTTGGAAGTCAGAGATTTGATAATCTGATCACTGTTTCGACTAATGGGTTTGTGCCAGGCTAATAAAGCCATTCTGGTACTCTTAATTTTTTGATGAACTTGGTACATCAGAGACCCCTCCACAGAAATTTGCCACCCAGTCTGAACTGCTTCTTTCACCCCCTCCAGCTGTGCCCAGGAGCTATCAAACTGAAATCTCTTCTTCCTTCTATCAATCTCCATGTCAGTATAAAAAATCAGCACATTATGATCAGATGCTGTTCTAAAGAAATTAATAACCTCCATCCTTGGAAAATTCACCAACCACTCATATGATATGAAAACCTTGTCAAGCCTCTCCTCTATATAGCCATCCCCAGCTCTATTATTACCCCAAGTAAAGAAAGCTCCCTTTTGATCCATCTCCTTCATACCCATATTAGCAATATAAGTGCTACTTCAAAACCAAAACTAATCAAACTTGGATAAACAGAAACTTAAAAACCAAGGAAAGGGAATGCCTGATCACAAAATTTGAGTAAATTTGAGGTGCCTGTATCAGTGAGATTCCAAATTTTTGTATTCCATAAGTGCATCAAAATTTGGAGAGGGTACAATAGTTTAAAGCCTTAAATAACATGGTATCAATCAAGAAAATCCTTGCTTCTACTCAACCACTCTATAATGAAAACAAAGGCATAACTTCTCAAATTAACAATGACAAGAAGCATCAGTAGTGCCTGTATCTATCTCTAAAGTACTCAATACACCTCCACAGATATGATACAGATTCCCGAAACATCCAACCTTTAAGGCAAAGTTTGTTGTAGCTGCTTGGGTTCTGCAACGCCTGTATTTTCTAACAAATACAATGACAATAAATTCTCAACCTCTCATTTTGAGGCTTTCAAGTCCCTCACAAACCAAACAGATAGAAAACGATGCACAACTAGTTATAACTCTTAACAAGATTTTCTTCCTCGTGGAAAATGATTCCCAATTGATTTCACCTTCAAATAAAATTTGTACATCTACCATTGTAGAACCCAAATTCAAATAAAGGAACAAAAAAGAAAAGATGGTAAAAAATAGACAAAATTTCTGTGGAACTAAACACATTCCCAATTGTACATGCCACAACAACAATTTATTAATTAACAGAGTACGAATAAAATATAAATAAGAGGGGAAGACACGGCGAGAGTATATCTTCCCATCTCGCTCGAAATAGCGGCGACCCTTTGCTTGTTGGTCGGGGGATGGGGGATGGAGGTGGGGGGACGGACACCGCTCTCGGTGGCGACAAATCTGGAGAAGAGAAAAGGTAAGACGAGAGTAGATTGGAACAGTGACAACCACTTGGCCGGTGCATGGAGGCGGGAGATGAAAGGCGCTGCTCGGTGGCCGGCGGAGAGTCGATACTGAATAAGCAACGATTGGGAGGAAGAGAAGTGAAAAAATAAGATGGCGTATTGGTTCAAGGGACAAATCTGTCATTGAACAACTTGGCCACTGTGCGGACAAAAGAAATCTTACCTTTTCAGCCAGATTAAGTTATCTTGGAAACGCACGATTTTTTCACTGTGCGTCGCGGGCTTCACTTTATTTGCCGGGCCGGAAACGCGGTTAACAACTGCACATTTTTGGTAAGATGAGGGCACAATCTCATCCAATCTCCTCTAACAATTTGGGCTACTAATGAGTATTAAGCTACCTTGCACCCAAAAATGGGCTAAGGGTTATGGGCTGGTTAGGCCGCGGCGCAGGCCCAGAAGTTGTCTGGGCCTCGCGGCTGATGGCTGGGCGCCTTGCTGGGCCGTGAGTTGAAGTGTTGCACACGCGAGCTGGCCTTGGGCCGTGCGTCGGGCATGTGGGTGTTAGCCCACGGCACCTTGGGCTGATGCCTTGGCTCGCCTTGGTCTCGGCCCTTACGAATTATTTTCCAATTTTTCTTAGGCTCGTTTAAGATTAAAAATGGCCAAGTTCACGACCATTTTTCTAAGATAAAATGAACCGAGACTTAAACTAAATCAAATAATCCAATCAACCTAATTAACCAAATTTAAATAGAATAGTTATCCCAATATAATTTAATCAACCTAATTTAAGTTAAAATAATTAACCTAATCAAATGTTCCTAATTAGCTAAGAGTAGTAAAGAAGAGACGAGACATTTTTTTATACGAGACTTTAGCATTTTCCTAATTTTGTATACATGTCTTTGGTTCTATACAGACGGGAACCACTGACAACATTGTGATAGAAATATCATTAAAAGGTGTATGACATCTGTTTTATATTAAAATCAATTAACCAAGATTTTAAGCAGGAATATAATAGGCCTGGAAAAACGATCACACAACACACAATTTATTGCTTTCAGCATTGAGGAACAATTATGAAAACGAAATGAATTGAGCAAACACACAAACAAACATAAGATCAAGAACCAAATTACATTTGACTTTGTCCAAAACACACACAACACAAAATAGATTCACAAAAACAGTCATTCAGAACCCAAACCCTCCAAATGCTCCACCAAGAAAGTTAAGTCCACCACCACCGCCGCCCAACAAAGACTGCCAATCAAACCCTCCACCACTCCCAACTCCACCCAAAACACCGTTATTATAATTACCTCCCGACATCATTTGCATCAGCTGCTGTAACCCCTCATTATTATTATTATTATTATTATTAGCACCTCCATAACGCCCACCATAGCCTCCTCCAGCCCTTCCCGCCAATATTGCCTGAACCATCGCGTTATTTCTGCTCACCCTCTGCTGAATCGCCTGAACGAGCATCTCATTATTCTGCCTGCTGCTGTTGAGCCCAAACCCCACCGTGGGGCCCACGGCAGCCGGAACACCAACCGCATTATTATTCACCCCCGCACACTTCAAATGGGCGTCGAACCCGCACGGGCCGCACCTGTAGAGCCAGCGGCCCGGCCCGCCCGGGCCCTTGCATATATCGCAGCAGAAGCCGGAAAACTCACCATAGGGCGACTCGAAAGCGAGCCTGAGCTCGTGCGGGTGGCGCGCGTGCGCGAGGGAAAGCGGCATTGATGCGCAGGTCGGGTGGAGGTCGAGCCCGCAGGTCTTGCAGTGGTAGCAGAAGGCCCGGCCCGTAAGGCCGCAGGCGTCGCAGTTGAAGAGGGCGTCGGGGTAGGCGGGCCTGGGAAGGAGGGTGAAGACGTGTTGGTTGTGGAAAGGGTGAGTGATGTTGGGAGGGAAGTCGAGGCATTTTTCGTGGAGGAAAAAGTTGCACGGGGCGCATGAGTAGATGGCCGGGCCGGAGGGCCCGAGGTCGCAGGCCGGGCAGGAGGATGGAGGTGTGGTTGGGGTTAGGTGGAGAGGGGTGAGTGTCAAGGGGTGGGGATGGCTGAAATGGG